GCATACATGATCGAAAAATTAATGTGGTAATATTAAATGCCATGAAATTCTTAATAATACACACATCATCCCATGCCAATAGCTTTAATTTTGGGCAAGCACCGTGTAAATGAAATTGGACATTTTGTATGGGGAAATTTCTTTTTGCTGACCGGTAAAAGGGTATGACCGAGTGAGGGGTACTGCATGGTAATGTTTAATAATATCCTTAAGTTTCATAGAACTATTTTATTGCATAAATGTACTATATTCCCTATTCTGTATGCTCAGATATAGAAAATTTCACTCTGTGTACATGATTCCGTCTCCCATACAGTGGTTGCATGTGACCCAATGTGGCCTCAGCCCGAGCCATGACTAAGTATGAGCCGCTCAGTAGATCACACTCTATCTTCCATTTCTGCCAGCTAAAGTCTTTCCTGGTTTCAACATCAGTTGCAATCCAACTTTCCCCTTCATCGAAAGAAATGCAAACACTTTTTACCGGTTCAAAACACCACGCCCAACCCTCTATCATCACTGTTGAGCCCACCAATACGGCGTCCGGTTCAGGGCGCACAATAATTGAGTTCACTTCTATATTCCATACTGGCCGTTTCTTGATCCCTTTGGGGTCCCCGGGATCGATCTCGTTGTAAAAGGTTGTGGTATATGGTCCTTCAGCCCTCCTGTCCTCCAGCGTTAGCCGGCAAAGCCATTTGGTAGAATTTGTGCCGAACCACCCAGGAACAACGAGCCTGACCGGGCCTCCCCTCTCTTTCGTTAGGGGCTCCCAGTTCATCTTGTAAGCTATCAGAACTTCTGGGCTTTGGGCTTTATCCATTGGTAGGTCTTTTTGGTAACGATCTGCTGAGACACCAGCAAAAGTTCCATTATCAAGCCCGTCTGACCACACATAATGAGCTTCAGGGAGTGGCGAAGCAAGTGATAAAATGTATGAGAGAGGGACGCCAGTCCAGACAACGTTCCCTATGCGCCACACTGCTTCCGTTGGAGGTTTGAGTGGACTGCCATAGCACTCGTGAAAAGAAGTGACCGATTTATGAGGTAGGCGTTTGAGCTGATCCAGTGAAAGAGAGAAGGGCTTTTTCACCAGTCCAGTGACAACAAGCTTCCATCTGACAGGGTCTACAACCGCCGCTCCCATGTGAATAGTATGAAAAAGGAGATCGTCCGGCGTGATGGAATCATTTAGTATATGAGGCTTTGGAGGATGCCGTATGTAAAACCCACGAGGGTTGACATCAACAAGGGCATGGCGCTCGTCCCCATCTGCCGGCGCGGAAGATAGGGCGTCGTTTTCTAGGGGGAGCGTGTTTGAGTCGGATATTGAAGAATTGCGTAACATTATAACTATCTTTGTATAAGAAAGGCAATCTCAAGCTTGCTCTTCTCATCCTCAGAGTGGTTGGGAGACGAAATTTATTACACACGCTTGTTGTTGGAGGGCGGAGACCCACTAATTGAAAAAGCGCCTTGATTCTAGAACCGATCTCTCCACCTTTCACGCATTTTTAGTCAGTATGGTGCGTTCACATACTCACCATGGCTACAAAAGTAGCACCGAGCCCAAACCTCGGCCAAGTGACTCCGATAATTTCCGGGCACCATCTGCTTCAGGGCCGAAACAGTCAAATATTGTAGACGCCTCACTCTTTTAAACTACATCCCCCTCAAGCGATACCGGCTTCTTAACGCCCTCCTTTGTCAATATGACGCTCTCCAATCGCGGTCAAGCAACAGCCGACAACAAAGGCGGATCGCTCTTGTGGGACGTCACAGCAAACCTTTGGGATCCTACGACCAACCCTTCAGGCTTCGTGAGCTTGGGCATGGCAGAGAATGTCCTCATGCAAGATGAGCTATTGAAACACATCACTGATAACATCTCCCCTCAACCCCGAGCTTTGACTTATGGCGACGGTACAACTGGATCAAAACGGTTAAAGCTTGCATTCGCACGCTTTTTCATCAAATATCTACACCCTCATAAAAACATCGAATGGGACCACATCACCATTACCAACGGCTGTAGCGCAGCTATCGAACATATCGCCTGGGCAGTTGGAGATCAAGGGGATGGCTTCCTCATCACTAGACCTCTCTTTCGCGCGTTCATACCAACTTTTGGCCTTCGCGTTGATACAGAGGTGGTACAGGTGCCATGCCATGGCGTTGATCCTTTCTGCGTGAACGTCGTCGACAAGTACGATGCCAAGTTTCAAGAAGCCAAAGCCCAAGGAAAGAAGATTGCTGGCATTCTTCTCTGCAACCCGCACAACCCCCTGGGGCGCTGTTATTCCAAAGATGCCTTGATCGGACTCATGCAATTTTGTCAGAAACATCAAATTCACCTGATTAGCGATGAAGTCTACGCCTTATCGACATGGACAGACGAGGATGCACAAGCAGCGCCTTTTACCTCCTGTCTATCTATAGATCCTACAGGCATCATTGACCCGTCTCTGATGCACGTGGTATGGGGTGTCTCGAAAGATTTTGGGTCCAACGGCATTCGGATTGGATGCGTCGTTTCCCAGAGCAACCATTTATTGCATAAAGCACTTGTTCCAGGTGCCTTATACAGTATAAGCTCTTCTCTCGCTGATCACGCCTTTGCGAATGTACTCGAAGACGAGGCTTGGGTTGATGACTATCTGGACAAGAACAGGACAAAACTCGCAGAGCATTACAGGCTGATAACATCCTGGGCAACTGAGCATGGTATCCGTTATGCGAGGGGAACAAATGCAGGCTTCTTCTTGTGGGCTAATCTTGGAGAGGCTTACTGTCAGAACCATCCTGAACAGGAGCATGCACACGCTGAGGATCGAGTGATGCAGCTACTGCTCGAGCGAAAGGTCTTCGTAGCTCCTGGGTCAAGCTTTGGAGCTGAGGATAGTGGCTGGTTTAGACTTGTGTTTTCAGTTAATAAGGTGACACTAATGGAAGGGCTAAGTAGGATCGTCGATGTCTTGAAGTAGGATGTACAGTACATCAGAAAACGAACAAAAGTCAAATCGGACTAACGTGAGCCATTTTACAAGATTTCGTACTACTGATTCTACTTTAGAACAAACTATGAGTTAGTGATGACAGTATTCAAATGGCTCTTAATAACAGCTTTACTGCCAGTCCAGGACTCTGACTAGCCGGATTACCTTGATTTTGAACATAAACCAATGGAGGATGCAACTTAAAGTTTTAACGTCCACAGTAACTGAGGGCGTGAGCCCATCAGGAAGATAGTCTAACTTGAAGATGTGAAAGACGGTACTAAATTTGGAGGGCACGAGCGAGGCGGAAGGGAACGGCAGTAACGGGAGTATCGGCAGAAACGGGAGGCACGGGAGAAACGGCACAATGGGAGGGAAACTGAACGGCGGTCTATAAAGACGCTAGAGAAGGACCGATAAGTCATTAGGTTATGAGCAAACTAAAATTAGTGTCCAAAAGTCTAAGAACGCTCCACCCCCAACCACCTTTATTCATTTGGATAAGCGAGTGCACCAACAATCATACATGGGCAACTTGTTCTGTTATTCTGTTGCTTGTTCTGTATAACATGTTAAATATTTCTTATTCTGTTATCATGTTAAGGCCCTCACATTAATCTGTTATAACGGAATAACAGAATGAACAGGATAACTGAAATAAGCCTTTTCCCATTGCTTTTGTCACATCAAAGGGACCAAAAGGTCATACATTGATCAAACCGGAAGGAAGGTCTCTCAGCTGTTCAGAAAGGTTGCTGACTGGCGGGTCGGAAGTCCGAACTTCCGGTTAGCAGTTGGTGTCATCGATGTTTCCCGGAAAGCAAGTTCTTCAACACAACGGCTCCGGAGGCCCTTCACCCTGGGTATGAGAAACCGACCTATTTTCCCCGTGGGGTAGAAATCTCAACGTGCGCAAACTCTATGTCTGGGGCTATGGGATTAACTCGGACATACGGACATGTCATCAATCATTATGGCTTGTGAATTATCAAAGGATGATAACTGGCTGATCAACACAACGCCGTGTCCCAGTTTGAGTGGATTATTGAACAACCGGGCCTGGCCCTTGAGCCATGGTTTTCTGACTCAGTATTTAGCGACTAGGGGTGTCCGAAGGGCGGAGAAATGAGTGAGTGCTTGCTATCGTAGGGCGCGGTTTGAGCAAACTTTGGGTTGTGGTGGTGGAAGCCGTATCTCACAGGCAACGCATTTCGTGTGAGACCAGCGGCGCAACCTCTATCAGTACAGCGTTCCTTAAACACACTCATTGCATTCTGTAGGCAAAACAATAACATGTTGCCCTTTAACTTCTAGATGAGTATCTTTTAGAGAGCCCGCACTGAGACTTCGGTACTCCACCTCCACCTCCACCGCCTCCATTTCGAAGAATCTGTTACTAATAATTTGCGTCTCTAATTGTCGCAGGGTAGGCATAACCTTCACGGCCTCAGGAAACAACTGCAGTAGTAATCTAGCTATATGCTTTAACTCTGCGGGATGGAATACCCCGCACAAGAGACAACTTCATACAATCAACACACACATTTGCTGCTGCTTATCACATACACTTTAACCCTTTAAGCACGCTGAGTGCGACACTAATTCTGCATCAAGATTTGACACACTCGGAAATGGGGAAGTGTTGGGGTTTGGTTTCGGGGCTTGAGCGGGGAACAAACAGCCGAGGAAAATATCAACGCCAGTGCTTCATCTCACAATCAAACCATCAGAACGCTAATTGGAGAAGCGGCTGAGCCGAGAACTTTAATGTGGAGCTATGAGCATTACACACTGGGAAGGAAGGTGGGAATTCAGTTGGGAATGATGGGTTGTCGGTTGTCGGTTTTCGGTTGTGTTTGGAAGGGCTCAGCCAATCAGATCACGAATAAAACGAACAGTTTTCACCCAGCGCGCGCGATGTTGGAAAATCCGAGAATCCCCTTCCCTTCAGGATTCAGACTGTTAGTCTGAAAGTCCTAGATACAATCATCTAGAGATATAAACCCGAGAACAACTCTTAGCTCAATAAGAAACAACCAAGTTATACAAAAAATATATTTTCACCCAGCACTACTGCGCAATATAAACAACAGTTCGACAAAGAAGGTCCCGTGCGATCTAATCCAGCTCTTCCTGCCCCTTGCACCTTTTCGAGCCAGCGAATCCTCTTGGACGAAGCGACGGTTCTTCCAGGTAATCTTGGGCAGATCCTCAATAGTCAGGTTAGGAGGAAGAGCTCCAATGACTGCCTCTTCCAGCTGCTTGGCAACCGTTTTAGGCTGAGACAATCGTGAGAAGACAGAAGAAGGAAGTGTGGGGCAAGGTGTCAATGTTGTTGGCAGAAAGCCAGCTGGCGACGAGGAGAGTGGCGAGTTCGACATCCTACTGGTGAAATGGAATAAAAACCACGTGTAGAAGGGATTATTTTGATGGCGCGACATGGTTGGAAAACGCGTTCCACATTGCATACGCGCGGTGGGGTCATGCGTTAGATCACGATAGCAGATACTTAGCTTTGCCGCTAATCCCCCCGCTATTTGAGAGTAGAATATGTATGTATGTATGTATGTATGTATATTTTTCGTCCGGGGGCCGTGAGGCCCGTAAAGTCCCCTATTGGGGCACAGGACGTGCTGAGCTAGAGGCTCTAGTGCTAAAATCTACGTAAAGCATTCGCAAATTACAGAACAGACCACTATCCAGCATATCATCGGCTCAAAAGCGCGTCCTGTCGAGCCTGTTACCCGTCAGCGGGATGACCAGGTGCGGCTATCATAGCGGTAGCCGCTATATCGGTCAGTCTTTAGTGAGACTAGGAAGGGGGCGTCGGCGTGACCGCACGAGGCGGCCGAGCCCGTGAGAATAAAGAAAAGAAACAAAGAAAAAGAAGGGAAAGGAAGATAGAAGGAGAGGAGGAGACACAAATGCATCTCCGATCTGCCTCGTCTAGTAACGAGTGCAAATCCTTTCGAAGAAGGCGCTTGACTTGGTCAACTTGATGTACTTGTCGAAGTTCCTTCCTATTGCGAGGTTAACCGCCGCAGTCGGCGAGGGGACGAGCCTTATTCGACACCGCCGCGGTACTTTCCTGCAGTAGAAGACATGGTCAGATGCTTTGCGTCGTCCGCACGAGCAAGTCACCCGCGCGTCGTCGTGGTTGAATCGTTCGTGGTATGTAGCGAAATCTCCATGGAGGGACCTTGCTGTGAGTAGATGGTGCAGGGCAGCCTGAGGGAGCGAGAGTTCCGGTGGGCAGCGTATAGTCGCCTTGAGATTCAATCTCTTATATTGCTCGGGAACGGAGGTTGTCCACCATGTTTCGAAAGCTTCTTTTGGTTTCTGCCTCGCCACCTTTCGCAGGTATGCTAGCGTCGGCTGAGCGCCTTCCGGTTCTGGCAGCGAGGACGCTGCCTTTGCTAGTTTATCGGCTTGTTCGTTGCCGGGAATGTCCGTGTGGCCAGGTATCCAGCGTACTTGTGTAGCTCCGTGTGATGCAGCTAACGCCTGGAACTCGACGAAGACTGCTTGTGAAGAATCAGACGGTGTGCCCCGTAGGCATGTGGCGGCTGCCAGGTTGTCTAGACAGACTATAATGTCCCGTGCCGCTGATCCTGGGAGGTTGAGAGCGGCCTTAAGGCCCTCCAGTGCCCCTGTAGCTTCAGCGTCAAAGACCTCGGCAGATCCAAGACGGCCCGAGCCGTCGCAGATGGAGAGGTCCTTCTGGTGAACGGCGAAGCCATAGCTGGCTGCTCCCTCCGAGGACAATGAACCGTCTGAGTATACGATCCAGGTGGTTGGGTCTACTGTCGAAACCCACTGGAGGAAGGCCTAGGCCGATTCCTCTTTCGGGGCTGTCTGTAGAGGTGTATCTTGTCCCTTGCCGAAGCATTTCTGCATGAGGGCTGGTCGTGGACAGGGTGCGAGCAGTTCATTGGTCCTCCGAAGACGGGTTCTGAAGTTGCTCTCTGTTGGAGCTTGATACTTCCGCTTGATGAGCTGATGGTATGTGGGTTGCCTGGGTGGAAGCGTGCGCTTCACGAGGGGGTGAGCCTCATCAAGGGATTTGAGCCGGGCGGAGAAACGGTATCGACGTGCTTCAAGAAGCTGAGTGATAGGTGGTATCCCGCTTTCCCGATGGAGGATGGCGGTTGGGGTCGTCTTCCAGGCAGGGAGTATAGCTCGCATAGATTGAACTATAGCCTTGTTCATTCTCTGCAAGAGATGTTGGATACCTGACGGCCGGTCTTTGGACGGTTGCTCCCACCGCGGTTGGGTTGCCCCTGGGTACCATACTTCGGTGCCGTAGAGCAGGACTGGTTCAACGCAGGCCCTGACGGCACTCCGTACAGCGCTGGGAAGCGGGCCGTGTATCGTGTTGGTGAGTCCTCGTAGATGGTAGGCGACAGCCTGTGACTTAGCCGTCCACTTCTCTGCGTGAACTCGGAATGACAGGCTGCTGTCCAGCCAGATGCCTAGCCAGCGCATTGCTGCCTCGGGGTGCTTCTCGACGTCGCCATGGCGTATTGCCGGTGCGGTCTCGAGATTGCTCCGAGAGAAGTGCATGACTTCGGTCTTCTTGGGGTCGAAAGATACCCCGTTTGCGGCGCCCCAGCGGACCATTTCTTCGACAGAACGTGATGCCGCAGCGGCCGTTTCCTCGACCGTGTCGCCGACGCACAGGATGGCTGTGTCATCTGCATAGCCGAACCGGCCTTGGGGGTTGCTCAGTCGGTAGATGGGCTCTGTATATAACAGGAAGAGGATCGGCGATACCGGCAATCCCTGAGGGAGACCGCACTGGAGAAGAGAGAGCGGGGTGATTGTATCTTGGTACCTAACACAGGCAGATCGGTCATCCATAAAGGATCCGTCCCATCGGGCGAGATGTTCGGGTCAGCCTTGTTCCCGAAGTCGCAGAATCAGTCTGTTGCGTAGGACAGTGTCGAACGCGCCTTGGATATCCATCGTGACCAGCGTGGCCACCTTCTTGCAAGCAAATGCCTCCTCAATGTCGTGAACTATGGCGGCTACGAGGTCTGTCGCAGACCTCTTTGGAAGCGCTCCAGCTTGTGTTCCGATGATATGTCATACTGCTGTGAGGAGTTTGACTGTGATGTTATCTGCCCCCGGCGATGTATTCCCGGTGCGGAGGGTCGCGTCCTGTGCTTCTTCCAGGCAGATTTCCTGCGGGAATGGGATCGTTTTGCGAGGGCTGACCTCGATCCAGGGATCCTGGGTATTGTCCTCAGCTGTCCGACGCTCTAGAGTCGCTCGCCGGAGCGCGTTGGCCTTGTCGAGCTGGGTTTCGTAGACCACGTCGTCCACTTGGAGTGGAGGCGGTTGGAAGGCTCCTGGCGATCTCAGCCATTGGACGGCCTTGAAAACGGAGCTGCTATCTGAGAAGCTGTTGATTAGGTTCCGCCAATAGAGCCTTTTGGCGCGGCGGACCACACGGTGGAAATCTCACTTGGCTATTTGAACCTCTTGGTTGAATCCGAGAGGGTACGGCCTTCTGATCGCCCGATACCCGGCAGCAGCAAGGGCGCACTCTTCGGTCCACCACGGAGCGTTGCGTGCTCCCTTCCTCGCAGGCCGGCCCGCTGCCTTTGCTGCTGATTGCAAGAGGCTCACTAGTGTGGATGCGAGCTTGTCTAGTTCTAGTGGGCTCGAGGCGGCGACGGGGATCGCCGTCGATCCCAGCTCTACGATTTCGACGAAGCGCTTGAGCTCATCGTCTGTTGTTACCCGGATTTTGCCTGGATGTGTTGGGGCCGGCTCGACATTTGGGAGCGTTAGGCTAAGGGTGAAATGATCAGAGCTGGTGGCAAGGTGGTCCTCGACATTAGCTTCAGCGAGAGGTACATTCGAAAAGGCGAGGTCGATGGTATTTCCATGCGGGTTTGTGGGGATGTCTGAGGCATTCAGCAGGCCGAGGTCATTTTCCGATGCCCAGGAGGCAATCTCGTGGCCGCGGTTCGTAGTTGGGCCTGTCTGCCATGTATGATGTCTAGCGTTGAAGTCGCCTGCCACGAGGCAGCGATCAAGGATCGGCCATTGCAGTAAAGTATCCGGCGCATCCCGTTCGTCGTTCTGGCGATAAAAGTTGACTATTATTGTATCGTTGACCGTAAGCCACAGGATATCGCGGCTTTGGTATGGTCGATTCTGATCTGCTGAGAGCGTAGAGTCTCGGCGGACGTACATCATGACTCTAGGTCGAGTGGAATTGCTGTTCCAGGCTTCGACTGGAGAGTAGGTGTCGTATGCAGGATGGGTCTTCGTGAGGCAGCGGGAGTTTGCCGTTATCATCCATGGTTCTTGGAGGAGCACGATGTCGTATCGTTCAGAGTCTGCCAATGCAAGGGCACAGTCGTGGACCGGGGGAATCTTGCCGACGTTGGCTTGAAAGACCCTGAGGGTCTTTTTCTCGCATCTTCGTGCTCGTGGGCGCCTACTCGTGCCCATGATCGTGGGGACGCGTGATCAAGACGATGCGGCGCTTCCTTGGGGACCCGGGTCTTGGGTGCTCGGGTTCCTCCTCTGCCTCGGGAGTAGTGGCCACCCGTTCAATCTCATTGACAAGATATCCAGCAGCTGACAGACCTGCGTAGAGCTCACCGGATCACCCCAGCTAGCCAGTCTAGCGAGTCAAGTCCTGGTGATGAAGGTGTCATTGATATTTATTCTGGTGCAACACCGAAAAGGCGCCGGCTTGAACAGAGCGCTATACCAAGGGCGAAAATAAAAGCCATCCAAGAACTAAGCGTCGGCTTCGTCATTGATAGCGATGTGCCATTCACCATCTTCGAGCACAGCTTTCTTCGGAAGATCTTCAACCATTTCGACAGTGATTTAGTACTCCAGATGGCGTGGAGTGGTAGTTCTGTCACTAGAGAGATACATCGACTCTTTGAAGCGAAGCGGGATACCATCAAAGCAGAGCTCCGCAACGCTTTGACAGCGGTGCACATTAGCTTCGACCTCTGGACGTCACCGAATCGCTTTGCAATCATGGCTGTATTTGCGCACTTTATAGATCAACTGGGTCATTAGCAATCCCGTCTGCTGGCTCTGCGTCGTCAATTTGGTGCTTATAGCGGCGAGAACCTCGCCGGTTCTCTGATCGACATCGTCCACGAATGGGAGATTGAGGGGCGCGTTGGCTGTGCCATCTCTGATAACATGACGGCAAATGATACTTGCCTGTACTATATGTACCAGCGGCTCGATCCATCGATGAGACCTGTTGATATCAAAGCCCGCCGGATGCGATGCTATGGGCACATGCTCAATCTCGTCGCGCGTGCCTTTCTCTTTGGCAAAGACGCCGAGTCATTCGAGCTGGAATCTGACATCAACGGCATGCGCGGTCTTGTTGAGCAGGACCTGGATCATTGGCGCACGAAGGGACCCATTGGGAAGCTCCGCAACATTGTCAAGTTTATCCGTTCATCGCCGCAGCGGAGCGAACAGTTGAAGCGAGTTGCCCGGGAGCAGGATCACGAGGAATACCGGCTCTGCGAGGAATCCACGGCCGCGCTCGAGGTTGTCATGAACAACGAAACGCGATGGAACTCCACTTACATGATGATTGAGAGGGCTTTGCGAAAGCAGACAGATATCAGGGCATTTC